TAACTGTACAAAAGTTGCTTCTTGATTCTGAGTCTCAGCTTCTGCGTCCAGAAAAATATGGAAAAAGTCTTCATGGCTGCCATTAAAGCAAAGATCGTTTAAACACCCGAGAGAGAAATTTCCACTTGTCCACGACACATTCCAGCTCTCTCAATGAACGCTGGAGTCAAACCCTCCACCCATGTCTCGCTCTCTCTCCATCAAACTCAGCCAAGATCTTTTTCAGATACTTTGTACAATCCGGGAGGCAGGTGACTGCATGGCGGTTTCATTATCCAAACCAAACGCAAGACAGTGTGAGGTATTCCGGGAATCCGATACGTCTCTCGTGAGATCTTGAACACTGGAGCTCCAAAATGTGACTCATCGTGTGGAAATCGGAGCAAAAAGAGGGAAGACTGGAGTGCGAGTTGTCTGTATGACTCTAGGCGATATCAGAGGAAGGAAACCGTCACAGGGTTTTTAAGTACCTCCAACCTGAACTTTTCATACTGAGAATCTCGTTGTTTCCTCTGAGCAGGACAAACATGAAAAAAGCTCAGTACAATCCTGTTTTATTTTACCGGACAGGTCTTGTAGACTGCGAGGCTCCACATCTCACCACAGCAGATCTGGTACAGCACAAAGAGAAAAGGCTCCATTTATGTCAGTCGCAGCCTAAAGTCAGGTGGGGACAAAGAATGGATCTAAGGAGGACATTTATATGCCATGTAATGAGCCTCACTAATTAAAGTGCAACATGGGAATATTATCCAGCAATCGAGTGCAGGGCAACCCCACCTCACCTCCTCACAGTCATCTATTTACAGCAGAGTTTCAGGCTGGTTGATAGGAGACCTACTGTGCACCAAATGATGCTAGATAGAAAGGGGAAAAGATTTTTAAGAAATCTGGCTCTGAATATATCTTATATTCATATGACTAATACAAACCGGATTCCAAAAAAGTTGGGACACTAAACAAATAGTGAATAAAAACTGAATGCAATGACGTGGAGGTGCCAACATCTAATATTTTATTCAGAATAGAACACAAATCACAGATCAAAAGTTTAAACTGAGAGAATGTATCATTTTAAGGGAAAAATCTGTTGTTTCCAAATTTCATGGCGTCAACAAATCCCAAAAAAGTTGGGAAAAGTCCATTTTTACCACTGTGTGGCATCCCCCCTTCTTCTTACAACACTCAACAGACGTCTGGGGACAGAGGAGACCAGTTTCTCAAGTTTAGAAATAGGAATGCTCTCCCATTCATGTCTAATACAGGCCTCTAACTGTTCAATCATCTTGGGCCTTCTTTGTCGCACCTTCCTCTTTTTGATGCACCAAATGTTCTCTATAGGTGAAAGATCTGGACTGCAGGCTGGCCATTTCAGTACCCGGATCCTTCTCCTACGTAGCCATGATGTTGTGATTGCTGCAGAATGTGGTCTGGCATTATCGTGTTGAAAAATGCAGGGTCTTCCCTGAAAGAGATGACGTCTAGATGGGAGCATATGTTGTTCTAGAACCTGAACATGGTTTTCTGCATTAATGGTGCCTTTCCAGACATGCAAGCTGCCCATGCCACAAGTGCTCATGCAACCCCATACCATCAGTGATGCAGGCTTCTGAACGGAGCGTTGATAACAACTTGGGCTATCCTTGTCCTCTCTGGTCCGGATGACATGGCGTCCCAAT